ACATTCTGTGCAGTTTGTCCTTAATAATAATGTATATAGGCAAACATCTGATATTCTTACATGCTGCTGTATGTTCTGACTGACAGAAAGTGTTTTTATTCTATATTTGCAGGTGGTGATGCAGCCAGAGTTTGTAATATGTGGGCTCAGGGCTGCCCGAGTATTGTACCCAATCTTTTCTAAGACCACTTTTATTTATTTTTTAATTATTAAATGCTTCGATTTCTTCACACCTTTATAAAACGCTAATTTCAAACGTTTATTTTTCTAATCCTGCTTTAGAATTATACGCACAGTTTCCAGCATTATTCAGCTCACTACACCACCACTAAACATGTCAACGATGAAAGTAATAGCACCTTTCCAACAACAGCATAATATCTGAAAGTGTCGGAGCTTTGCAAAACTGAATTTATGACAAAGCTGCATTGGTGTAAACTGCACACGTGTTGCTAATAAAGTGCTCGCTCAGTGAATATTCAAATTCCAGCGATAGAGGACTGAGCTGTCTTTGGTTCTGAGTAATCATCTGCCGCTAAATGTTTAACCAGATAACACGTCTACATCCTATAAACCACATATTTCAAACGCTGACGCAAAGCTTCCCTGAAGTGCAAGTTCAGAGCTATAAGATGACATTACACGAACATTTACTATGTAATTATACGTTACTAGAACCTAACACACTTAACACAATTAAAGAGAGAGGAACTGGAAAAATACGGAGTCATACAACACAAAATATTTCCCCTAATTTCTTTAAAACCCAGGATTAGCCTTACGTCATCCAAATCCCTTAATCTATATAAAAAACGAGAGGAAACCCCGAAAGTTTCCGAATAAAGGTTAGCTCCACAATGTGAACTCGAAACAAATCAAACGCATTTCCTTACCTCTGTTCCATATCACTGGACCTGCCTAGAAGCGTTATGACAGTTTTTCCAAAGTCCAAATTACAACTTGGCTTTTTCTTTCGCTAAAGTCGCACCTGTACAAAACGACGGTGAAAACTCCTCTAAAAGCACCGAGGTCTCGTCAACCAAGACATTAAAAGTTTAAAGTTTAAGGCTGGAGAGCAGTGAAACACCGCAGACTTTATTTTCTCGCTCTGTCAGAGTCCGAATACAGCTGCAGCCTATCAGTTTACGACCACGCCGCTGATGCCTTCAAATGCTCCCGGACACATGGGCTTTCGTAGCTTTTACCGGTCGTTTCGGACAAAAATAACGAATTATTATTAATTATTAATAATTTTGTTAACTTGGAACAAAAGATTTAAGCTACTTTGATGATTGATAAGACGCCATGTCATGTAGGTGATTGTAGCCACCTGTACTAAAGCCTTAAAGTCAATTTCCCTTAAATACTGCCTTTGAACTGCGCTAAATACCCAATACTTTTAACAGCATTGAAGGCAACACCGGCGTCAAAGCAGGCAAGAGGTGCTTGCACAGTGGAAAATGCTACTTCATACGACACACTCCTAACAAGCAGCATCCCTAGTTTTATTCTTCGTAATATTCAAGACCTTCAAAGGTAATTTAAAAAACCCCCAATAACTCTGTAATTAGTTTTTGTTGTTGTTTTCTTTTTACTGAGGGTGGATTGGGTGCATGTGAGAGACTACCGCTACATAAATGGTTGAGCTGAAGCAAATTCCAAAATGACTTCTCGTTCTTACCCCCCCTCTCCTACCAGGATCATTTCAGAGACCTCCCAGCCTGACACAATCAAACCAGACACACAAGACCAACTTGCCCAGTGCCTCTGGCCGACTGACCTCAAAAAGACACTCAAACACTTTAAAAGTCTGGTTAAAAAAACCTGTAAGTATTTAGCTTAGCCATGACGTTATGTCAACTCTGCCCCCTAAAGACCCCCTGAAAGCATTATCTTGTTATTTCATTAACTAGCTCAGTCCCTCAGCAAACAAACACTCGGAGTCAAAATAAAACTATTATTTAACTAACTGTTGCTAACCCAGGATCACAAGACTCCAGGCAGCCCGATTCACTGCACGTGACTGCTTTAAGCTGATGCATATTTAATGAATTACAGACACATTTCCTTGGATAATTACAGTACGTTCACTCAAGCCCTGAACTGAAGTATACACTAGTTCTTTGCAATGCATTCCCATTCATTTGTTTTTTTCCCCTTATGAACACGCCTGCACACAACAGTTCAGAGGGAAGTTACTCATCTGCTGAGCTTTAAAAAGATACAGTAGCTTCTAATTTCGTGTATCAGATGTTTGAGTTTTTCTGAGCATCTCCAACAAAGTGTCCTCCCCTTTGAAGTTCCCAGTATCAGAAGCTGCCAACACTACCTTACAGTAGGTAGGCATTTACCACTATTTACCACTATTTTATGTTGTTTACCTACTTTAAATCATTCAAATTTAGCAGTGGCATTCTGTATACTCATCAGTGTTACCAGTTTAAAATTACTGGAGGAACTTTTTTCTGTAGAACATTTAGTTTTGCAACCTCTTACGTACAGAGCAGAGGCCTTCACCACTTTCTTTCTGAACTTCCACGAGAAGGACCTCTAATAGAAGCCATGGGGCTGAATAAACAAGACACAGTGAGCATGGCGCTTTGACCTTTAGGACAAAACACATGACAGAACACCTACAGAGCAGCAGCCACACATGCAGTGAGATTCAGAAAACGCAGTTCATAGATTTTAAAAATTTGTAATGCTTTTATTTTATGTGGTTTGAGACTGCTTCCACCTTCCTGAGTGCTATTAATATTTACACTGAAATCAATATACAAGGAAGGAAGGAAGGAAGTCTTGGTGTAGTCTTAGTAATAACTGGATGACATAGGGGGTCTTCAGCTAATGCAGCTCACCTGAACCTTCCAGGCTATTAAAAGCTGGCTCAAATGAACTGTTCAGCTTGTGTCTTCCACTTCCAATGTATGTGTTTTAAAAGGCACTTTAACCACCAAACAGCTTAAAATGGGATGAGAAAGTAAAAATATTTACATTACACATGAAGAACTTTCACTTAATATGTACAACTCAACTGAGACTTTAGCTTATCTGTCTCCTCATAGATCTTGCAGACAGGAAGTAGTAAATTCCTGCCCTGCTATCTTGTACCATATAACAGGATGAGAACTTTGTGCTACGCTAAGCATCACACAGCTGGTATTTTGCATGGACATGAATAATCCATTTGACTTCTGGAATGCCAGAAGTACAAGGATGCCAAGTTAACTGGACAGGAGAAGAACACCATGCTGTCTGAAACATAAACACGGTAGTAAATATTAATTCTTACAGTTTGGATACATGCCTCTATGTTTTTTAGTCGCACAGTTATCATGAGAAATGTATTTCTTTAATGAGGCTTGTGTGTGTCAAAATAATGTTGCAGTGCACTGAAGTGTGAAAGAAGTCTAACAAGTAAGGATCTCTATTAGCAAATGTTTTCTGTGTCACTGATGCAATGACCTTCCTTACACACACAGTCAGTTTACAGCATAACCTGACTTGTTAGTACGTAATCCAAGGCACCACCCATACAAAGGTGCAGTTTACAACAACAGCGTCTCATTGACGCTGCAGATAAACACATTACGCAGACCTTGGACAGTCTCACAGCACCAGGAAATGATCTGAGATCCTTTGGAACAGGAGACAAATCTAACTCTGTCTCACACATTCTCTCCTCATTTCCCTCACATAAGCAGCTGTCTTGGCTCATATATGCTCACAGCTGCCCAAATCACTGGTCCCCAGACATGATGAAGCCTGCACTGAGGAGGGGGATGGGGGGGTGCATCTGGGTCAGTAACTGGTAGGTCTTATGGGTTGTCTGGGGAGAAAAGAAGTCGAACCTTCCTTGTTTATTGAAAGTTCACAACTCTTTTTTCCCCCTTTACCATGAAGCTAGTACAGTTTGATCCCAGTTTCCACTGCAACACAGGGCGAGCACACGGTATGAGGGATTAATAGCTCCTAGCTTGTATGGTCTTTATTTTAACTGGAACAGCACAGTGTGTTAACAATTTCCATCATTTTACTGGGAAGCGGCAAAGGTTAGTGGTGAACTGCGTTGATCTGGGCAGCGGAGGCATATTTTTCCAATGTTGTGTGGCTCCCTGCAGGAATGTGCTCTTTCAGTCACCATGGAGAGGGAGACAGATTCTTACTGTTGCAGGACAAAGCTTAAAGCTCAATGGATGGGTTTACAGGCCTTCACATTGTGAAAGGATTAAATAAATCAAGGCTGGCTGGGACCTAGCACCACGGTACCCTGCCATGGCCTTACAGCTTTGACCAAACAGACGCACACAAACAGCTGGCCCTCATCCAGACAGGATATTCAGCAACAATGAGTAACCTGGCTCACCCCTAGACTGATTTACATACACCTAAAGAGGCCATGGCAGTGAAAAGAACAGGGGCTGGAGGGGGAAGACTGTTCACTTACCCCCCAAATCTATTTGCGAAACTTAAATATATTAAGCAATGCTATTTTCTTTTACAGACAGATGATACAATGTGACATATTTAAACACACCCATAAAATATCCACATAGTAATAAGGACTTTGGAGTGAAAGAAAGAAGTGTAACAAATTTAAATGGAAACATGAGTTATTTGCATTTGACAGATGTTTTCAAAACAAAGATAATAATGTGCCGAGTCAAGTGAAGAAAACTATAAACAAACACTGCAAAAACCTCCACACTTCCACACTATTGTGGCTTTACTGATAATTTACAATCAGATGGTCGACCATCAGAGTGTGGAGGAAAGACTGTGTTAAAGGTCAAAGAAAAGGTTTAAAAGAGCAACACCAAAAAAGTGCACAAGAAATAACAGCACGTGTTAACAAGTGTACTGTGACAGGCACACAGACTAGTCCTAACAAGGCGACACAGTGCAAACACATCACTCAAAGGAGAAGAGTTAATTTTTGGTTAGCAGGTGGTGGTTGTGCAACACACCAAGGGGGTTTTTGATTGCTTTTTTTGGTCTACCTGAACTTATGCTGTAGTGGTTTAGCGGGTCGGCCACCCATGCACTGTCCTGTATTACACTCTCCATCTCCAAGTCTGCATGCATCCCGATGGACAGATGGGCCAACAGACATTTGGATGGATGGATGGATGATGGAGACATGAGAGAATCAGCAAAGGGAGAGAAGCACTTCAAGTTAGAGAGCAGATCAACTGTGTACTTTGGAAAACTGAGGAAATGACACTTTAAAAGAGCAGGTAACAGAACACATAATTATAGTTGTAGTACTGAATGAAAATGAATACTGAATGAAAAAAACTACATGAATTTAAAAAAGTGAAAGAAGTTCAGTTTAACTTTGAAGTTATAATCCTTAGGATTTTTATGAACTCACATCTTTTTTTTAAATTACATACCTACACATGAGGTAATGGCTTGCAGATGCACACACAAACAGCTATGAACAAGAAGTGGCTTCTTTAATTTCTTTTCAAATTTGCCTGAGAGAAGCATGCATACCCGTCACCACCTTATCACAGTAAAGTGGTCAGGTACAATGTGGCTTGGGTGATGGTCAAGGGCGGGGGGCTGTGGAAACAGTCTTTCCAAGTGCAGCCCCCATGAGGGGCTGGAGGGGAGTCTGGTCAGAATGGAGTTGCCCTCGGTGAGCAATACGTCCTGAATGTCATCGGCAGTTATGGACCGAACAACAGTTCAGAGTGCCCAGCCTACTTGGAGTTGCTGGGTGTGGTGCTGAAGGGTGCTCCAACTGATGTCATTGTCCTACTAAGAGACATCAATGCTCACCTACACAACGACAGTGAGACCTGTAAGGGCATTAGGATGAATGGCCAGATTGAGTTGAACCCAAGTGGTGTTCAGTTATTGTTGTTATATGTTGCCAACTGATCACTACCCAGTGATGTGATGGAACAGGTGGTGGGAGAGAATGCTAATTAGGTCTGGCGCACCCAAACGTATTGTGAGGGTGTTCTGGGAGTGTCCCAGGCTCTTATCTCAATTTCCACCTCCAGTAGAACTTTGACATCATCCCCGTCATCCCAATGAGCTGGCTGTAGCTCAGGAGGTAGAGCAGGTCATCAGGCTCAGCAGGCTGACTGGAAGGTTGGTGGTTCGATCCCCTGCATGCCAAATATCCTTGGGCAAGATGCTAACCCTAAGTATGTGTTAGTTAGAAAGCACTTAAAAGCATAGAAAAAAGTGCTTGTGTGAATGGGTGAATGTGGCATGTTGTAAAAAGCTATATAAGAATCAATCCATTAATCAGTCAGGCCATAATACATTCATGTTTCACACCCTCATTGTTGAAGGAGGCGCTGCAAAGTGTTCGGATACTGTTGTGCTGTCCTATAAGCAGACTGTAGACAGTGGAGCCATCAACTTGAAGGCAGGCCGAGCAAAATGCGGTTTTTGTAGTAGCTGATCTAAAAACTCTTTTGTAGGAAAAGTTTGGTGAGCCCATTGAACAAGACTTTCCATCTGCCAAAACTGACTCAAGAAAGGCAAAGCAGTGCTCTACTCACAAACTGTGTAGTACAGGGGCAACTCTGCTATCACTCTATAACCTCCTGTAACCTCTGGGTGGGTGAGCCCCTGGAGTGTAGAGTCACCCTGTTCCTTAAGACCTTGGGTGTTACAGGGCCGTGTTAGCCGACACGCCACTGCAATATCAGGTGGACATCTTGGGCAGTGCCTGTGGAAGACTGGAATAGTGATCGTCATCCTTAAGAAGAGGAACTGGAGTGTGTGCTCCAACTACACAAGGATAACACTCCTCAGCCTCCCTAGGAAGCTCTATGCCAGAGTACTAGAGAGGACAGTCCATCTGTTAGCCAAACTTTGGATTCGGGAGGACCAATGTGGTCCGGATCACGGAACTCTGGACCAGGTCTTTATCTAATCAAGGAAATTCAAGTGTGAATGGGAGTTTAGTAAGGCAGTGGAAGTGTAATTTGTAGACTTTGAGAAGAGTCTACAAATTACAACATAGCAACAACACAGGCAGACCCATTCCAGGGTCTGCCCGTCAGCCTGCAGTGAGCTCTGTTGTCAGATGGAGGCAGTGTATAAAGCATGCATTACAACCAGTCTGTGGGCCACTCTTGCTCGTGTTGTTGCTCCATCAACCAGGGGTGCCTTCAGAATGTTTTGATAGGGGTGGACCACTAAAGGTTTTAGGGTGGCACATAAAAAAAAGGAATGAAATGCCTGCAGGTCAGCAAAAACAACTTTTGATTAGATGAATAATGGGGTGGTTTTTATTGAACTGGTTCTAGTGATGGAAGATAAATATGACAGCAATTTCTTTTGTTTACTGCCCGCAGAATTCGGGGAGCTAGTTTATGAAACATTGTTAGTGCCAATAAATCAAACAGGACTAAAATCTTAAGGATTATAACTTTACTTATGCTCATCAAATTTGTGATGTACAAAATCATAAAAAAAAAGTGTAAATGTGAAAATACTTCTATATGTATGTGCGTGTGAACAAGAGAGGGTGGTGTGAGCAGACAGGCAGGTGGAGTGTGTATACCAACACGCACAGGGGGGAAAGAGACTCCAAGAAGCAGGCGGCAGGCCAGAGCAGGGGGAGGCTGAAGCAGAGGAGTCACAGTCAAATGCAACAAATCAAAACACATGCCAACACTACTGTACATCCATGTGCAATGAGATAGCAACAGCATTAATGATGTACTGAGACAGTGGAGAGCAAACGATGCACATTTTGAAACATGTACAAAGACATTCCACTTTTTAATCTGTGACTTATAATAATACTCCTGAGCCAAGATATTCTCGTTTAGTGTCCTGTAAATACTACAGTTGGCCATCTGCACGGTTTCAGGAAACAAAGACTTCAGCTTAGGGCTGTGCGATATGACCAAAATCTCATATTCCGATATAAGACATTTATCGTCCCGACAACCATATGTATCACAAAAATGTTACATTTTCTGTAAATTCTGTGAATCTCAGGCAACTTGGCTTGCGTGTTTCCAGCTGCGCGTCATGTAGCTGGAGTCGAGTGTTTTGACCGATGCGTGAAACCATACATTTTTAGACATAAGTTGTAACGGCCGCCGTTTTCTTTGTATTTATTACACGGCGTGCTGCGGGGAAAAGCCTGTTCTAACGTTTGAGTCTAAGGTTTATTTTGAGCACCTGACGGCTCTTTTTTGCTTATATTACAAAAATGGTTTTGAAATAATATTAAGATGCTCAAACAGAAAAACATTAAACACAAATATATAAAATATAACTATTTACAGAGAGACAGGAGTAAAAAGGACCCTTAAAGTGGAAGAGCCTCAGGGAGGAGGAGGAGAAAAAAAAAGAACATTGTTTCTGCCCTGGAGAGCTGCTGCCTCATCACAAAACTACTGATTGCTAGAATGAATGGCTTTGGCCGGACCCTTTGAACTGGGTCAGAGCATCACGTCACCAGGCTGATTGGTTGTCGCGGCGCGACTTGATGCTGGAGTTCAGATTTTTCCAACTCGAGCGGTAGACGCGATAAGCGCGAATGCACAGAATGCACCACACGAACTGCAGCGCGTATTTTACTTTGCACTTCAAACGCATCAGTTGCGCTACTTGGTTGTGCGAATCAGGCAGAAAAGCGTTTTCGCGACGCAAATCAACTTCTGAAGTTTCATCGTGCTCCTTCATTGACTTTACATGTAAACCTGAAGCTCTGGTCGCGTCTATCGCGTTCAGTGTGAACGCACCGTTAGGTCCTCGATTAGTTTTGACTGGTCCCAGATGGGCTACTTTAGCTCATACACTGAACAGAAACCCAATCATTGAAGAATTAATCAACAATAAGAGGAAAATCTGGTGTCTATATCAAAATCAAGTTCCTGACCACGTGCAGATACTCTGATATCAGATATAGGGCTCATGCAAAAAACAAAAACAACAAAAAACAGCAACAAGCATTGAGATATTACTTAAAAGCAAGGGAGTGGGACAGCAGGCACAGTCTAGCCTCGGACTGAACAGAGTGCTGTGTGTGCACTGCAACAAGATGCATTTGGTATTAGTCACAATCTGGAAGGATCAACAACATTATGCTTGATACTTGAGCTGCACATCAGATAACATGGGTATCGAAAAGCTCCAGAAAGCCCACAAGCAATAACCACCCTCTCTACTTTAACTTTATTTTTCTTCAATTTCTTCTTTTGTCTTGTGTCCTCACTTAATAGAGACGCCAGAATGAGGCTTTGGTATGGTTTGGAAAAGCAGCTCCACTTGCCCAACCCAATGCCAGCGGGCTGGCTGTGACGCTGAGTCATAGTGGTTGAATCAATGTTTAAATTTGGAGCATGTGATGTGGATTTATTCAAGACATCTTACAGCAATAGGATCTGAGCAGCTATTTCTGATGACAATGTTTAGCTCAAGCCGCTAAAAACACTGTCGAGTGCTCTCTTTGATTCTGAGAGGGTTTGTGTTATACACTTGTCTTTGACACTCTCTGGAGTGTGCTAAAGAGCTTATCTGTTTGCTCTGGACAGCAATAGATTAGCAGTTATTTGCAGAGGATTTGCATATGGCTGAGTCAATAAATCATGAGTAAAGGCCTCTTTCAGCTGATCATGTGTCAGAATTACAGGCTTCCTTTCACAGTAAAATCATAACCTGCTTATATATTAGACGTCTGTAACAGAGTTCTCATTGTTCCATTTCATTTTAGATTAAAAGTATCAACTACAATATTACCAACAAATATTTTTTCCCAAATCATATATATTTTAATAACCAAATCATTAAACTGACCCAAAGAGTCTGTTAGACCACTGCATGCACACTAATATATACCCAAAGTCAAATCACTCACCACAGATCGAACTCTTTCCTGAAACCTCAGCGATATCAGTGAGACATTAACCGCCATCAGTGATAACGCCCTTCTAACACATTTCCTGTTAATAGTTTAAGAGGAGAATAAGTACCTGGTTTTGGCACTGAGTTGGTCATGGACTGTGGCACTTTGTCATTTATGAGCTCCACACACTCACTGGGGAAGAAGCCAACCTGGAAAGAGTTACAGCACAGAGAGAGGTGGGAGGAAAGACAATCACATTTTAGAAGACAATAATGGCACCCAAGGGCGTAGAGATGTTAAGGAGTGGTTGCCATATCAGTTATATGATTCATGGCTGATTTTTACCATTTTGTCATCACGTTACATAAACACTTCCCTTCTAAACTGAAGCAAAACTCAGATAAAATCTTCACAGTGGGTCATTTAGGTTTGTAGCAGGTTTTACATTTGAATATGATCACATTAACTTTAATTAGCAAAAATAGACATTCAGGTTGCCCAAGGATACAAAAAAAACAAAACAAAACAGTGCAAATAATGTTAGCAGGTCAGACTACATGGCAGTCTGGAAAAAGTGGGATTCAAAAGGGTCTGTTTATGACTCAGACACACTCAGATTGAAAACAGGATGGCAAACCGCCTTGTTGGTTGATGACTGCACTGATTTTTTTCTGCATTTGCTGACCAATTGGAAGCAGTTATGGGATTCAACAATGAAGGGTGTTACATGCTCAGCCTCTGGGTGAATCCTTTCAATCACAAGGCAATTGCACACGTCACCTGGTGGGTGGCACTCTCTCCAAACGATGGCGGCCCAACTCTGACTTTATACATGCAGATAGACTGAGCAAAACTCATATACACATGTCAGTGTTAAAAAGGAACTAGAACCAGCTGGTTTCCAGCTGGATGCATTCTCACTGTATTCTTACTGAACATAAAAGCGAGGTTGCAGAGCACCTATAGTATCTTGCAATTAAACCAGCATCCTGGAGAAACCACGTCACCATTTCCCCAAAATTTCCCAGGTGTGGGACTAATAAAGGATTATCTTATCTTATTCGCAGGAATTTCACTTTCACTTTCAAATGTATTGAGCCCATTCAATCCCAACCAGCAATCTGACAGTGCTATCCCTCAGCCTCCTCGTACATACACCTAAGGTATCAATTTGAAACTCCTACATCACCTCGTTCAAGTTATCGACAATATCCTCCCATCAGCCTTTTACGGATGGGGGTAAAAGAAAAACAATACAATTGCAAGTTCATTGCACATCAACACTCCATTTGTACATAGTCACTGTGTTCCCAATTGTGACTGTAGTTTACAGAGCTACAAAGCCTGTAAAGAGGAATTAAAAGCCACCCAGTGTCAGAGCAGTGAAGTTTCAAAGACTGAATGCCATGTTGAGAGAAACTGTCATTAAGGATTTTACTGTGGGCCAGCCCAGGTGGACCAGACTGTGGAAACCAGTTAAATGTGCGTCAGAACCCTGATAGCAGAGTTTTGGACATGTTGCAGAAGCCTATGTGGCTAAGTGGCACAGTAGCCTATTCTAAATAAGATTCCCTGACGGAAAGGAGAAGGAAGGCTTCAATTCAGTGACAGGATAAAAAAGTAAGACCAACAACCATGAGCTCTGTTTTGTTGCTCTTAAATCTGAAAGAATGCGGACAGTAAGAAACAAAGCTTGCAAGCTAGTTAAAGCACACAACACCCTATGCTGTGACATGCAAACTAACATGCCTCCCTCTCCTCACACTCTCCTGCCTTCCTGCATCACTACCTGGTGTTTGAAATCCTCCAAGGGAGTTTTACTGTTCACTCGACATTTACTCTGCATATCTTTTTTTTTTTTTTTTTGAGGGGGGGGGCTGCTCTTTACCCATTATGGATTTTAACCTAAAGTTTACATTATACAATAAAACACAGGCCACTTCTGGCATCATCAACTGCCCCCTAGTGGTGGTGTCATCAGCCATCAGTTCTACCAAGACATCCTAGGTTTGAGTTTCACTTTGCTTTTACTGTTAACAAAGTTCAAATGTGATAAACTGAGTGAACCTTTCATTCATATAAAACATCTATAAGTATAGACCAGCCTACATGTGTTCAAGTGTTCAGAAACTCTGTAATCCAGAGGAAGCTAGCTATTTGTAGCTAGTTAAACATAAATGATCAGTAAACATCCTGCTAGGGCTGGACTGTTCACCAACATCACATAACCTTTAAAATATAGGTTCTCAAACTAAATGAGGAACAATTAGTTCCTCATCGCTGTAATCACAATAGGATCTGGTTATGGTCAGGAAGCAAAAACTATACATGTGGGTATGTGGGGATTGTTCCAGATCCTTTCATAGACATAAACTATCACACTGCAACCACTGTTGCCTGGGGTGTTGCATTTATTTGGACAGAGCCAGTCAGGAGAAGCAGCGGGGGTGATAATGTTGGGGGATCTGTCAAAAATAAAGACTTGTCAGGCAGAAGGTCGAGCTCGGCGTAAGGCAACATCTTCCAGCCGATGATGTGACCTATCAAAAACCTGGAAAAGCAACTGCTGTAAAATTAGTATTATAAACTTCCACATCGGGCTTTGGTGTCTTCTTTTAAGCGCATTAATTAAATAATTTCTAGATCATTTTCACTGTTTCACCAGTTAAGCACCACCAACGCAGCCCCCTGTTTGGCTTGAATGCTGGCCTCCTTTACACCTGAACACCCACTTAGCAAATCTTGCCCAGAGTGTTTTTTATACACTTGTCTGGGTAAAAGTTTCATACACACAAACACAGTGGACATACTGTTCTCCTGTGTTATTGATGACCTTCATTTCAAAATACAACTGTCGATTTAAGTGTTTTCTTAGACTGATAGGATTCATATTAAATAGTGATTAAGCAAGCTTTTTGACTAACTTCATCAGTATTGTGACTACTTTGACTGACAGGTATTTTAACTTGGGCAGCAGCAGCTGATTGGTACCTTACCTCCATTAACTGAACAGGACCTCCGCACTGCTTTTTATAGTGTTTATGCCTCTTACAATATTGCCTGCTCTTTAGTATATATTGTCCAACAGGTTTGTGCTTTCCGTGAGTGAAAACTAAGAAATTTTGAATGTGCCAATGCCCTCTTTATAACGCCAATTAGTTCAGTAGCCAATAAGAGCTAAGTGGATCCATGAAGCTGGAGCCAAATGCTATTAATATGGAAGCAGTTTGTTTAGTTAATGAAGTTTTAATGACATTTGTAGAATGACATAGGGCTTTAACAGTATGAACATGTGTCCAATAACAGCTATGCTAACAACACCATAGTATGCTCCATTTGATTACTTAGCAAATCAATTCTTTAAATTACTTTATGTGAATATTAGCATACAAAGTAATTTAAAAATGGAATGCCTAAGTTATTCTTTACATTATATATGCTAAGAATGGCATCACATATATTCTTACATTGCAGCTAAGAGACAGCTAGCTAATTCTGCCACTAGCAAAATTAAGTCTTAGTGTTAATGCTAGTTGGCTAGCTTGCTAACAGCTAATGCATTATACCTACTTGTGTACTAACTTATGTATAACATCAAACAGTCTTGATTTCAGGCATCAGTAAATCAATTGCACAAGGTAAATATACATGCTAACACTTGCTTCTTACAGTAACAGCCAACATATCGGGGTTAGCCAACTACACAACATGTATCTAGCATTGGTTGCTTTGTCTCATCAGTCAACTTAGACTCAATATAAACACTGACAATGTCCATTGCAGTTTTCTAACAGCTGTGGCTGCCAGGTTACACACAGCTCCTTTAACTTCATTTTTTTTAAAAACTTTATTTTTTATTCCTATTTATTCTATTTATCCCCTTTGTATATTTTATTTATATTTGTCTCTGTATTTATATATGTGTGTGTATGTGTGTATATATATATAACAATTCTGTAACTGTAACTTCGGTCGTTGCTGTGCTTTTTTTGGAAGTCGAATTTCCCAGAGGAACCCACCCGAGGGATTAATAAAGTTCTATCTTATCTTATCTTATCTTATCTTCAGTCATGTGCTGTTCATGGTTTTATCTTCTTTTTACGAAACATGCAATATTTTTAGTACCAAATCATGAGCATTATGCAGTGTGAGCAGTGTCATCAGAATCAGAATCATGAAAAAAGATAAAACCATGAACAGCACATGACTGACTATATATGCACACAGCGTAGGAATATGAATTAACTCAGATGCACCATGTAATCTCCCCCAAAGCTTCACATGAAGGTGGATTTGTATCTCCCTTTGCCTTTCAGCAGACTCTTAAATATTTGAAGTTTACTTTACAAAGAAGCTCCTTGTCCTTGAAAACCTCAAATACAAGTCATATCAAAAGTTTAAAGCCAGAGGGAAAGAACGTGCGAGTTTGTTTCAACGTGCTTTGTGAGCAGCGTACCTGAAAACCATGCTTGCCCCTCCACCATGTGGTGTCCTCTTTAGGGGGCATGTCAATCACAGACACGATGTCGCCAACCTGCAGAGAGTAACAAGCTGACATCAATGATTGTTATAACTGAAACGACAATACATCTAAGCTGACTTCCTCTTACAAGTGCATATTTAGTAAGGATTGTTTAGAGCTGAAAAGCTTGTCTTGAAAGACAAAAAAACAAACACCTACTCAGTTTTCATATTTATTTACTGGTAATATCTGGACTGAAGGCATCTTTATTGCTGTTTCAGTTTGTTTTCCTCTTGTATCACCATCTGTGTAACATTAACTGCTACAAAGCCAGTTTAAAAAATAGGTGTAAAGAATTCACTCTCATATTTTGACACAGAGTAAGTGAGAGTGTGCGCTAATACTAGTCATCGACAAAACAAGCATTCATAAGCTGTTAGCTCTATCAGGGTTTTGCCCCAGTAACACAGCATGGGTCTACTAAGAATTTTAAGGTGTAAGTCACTGGACAGTCACTTTTTACTGTTTAGGGAATCAGCATGTAGAAATCTTTATTTCCAGAATTTAATACAGCTTAAAAAAAAAGTTTGAAACTCCAGTACAGCTTTTGGAGAGGGAGCAGTCACATGCTGTTGTAATAAAAGTGATTGTGAATGACCATGGCAGACCCAAACATGCTTTGCAGCATACTTTATTTCTCGCACACACGGTTGCTGTAACAGTACACTCAACGGCTGCAGCTCTCCTGCTGCCAGCCGTACGCATCAACACCAAACACAGGACCCAGTGCAATATTTAAGTCGGCGGGGCATGATTGCAGATGCCGTGCAGGTGCGTCCGCCTTCCCTGCACGGCATCGCAGAACACACCCCGCCACCGTGATTTATCTTACATCATACAAAGTTACACCAGTTAGTCAGAGATAAATGAAAGCAAAGCAACAATAGACTACACTGAGTTACTGAAGCTAATGACACAGAGACAACTCTCTACATATATGTATATTTGTCCTTTAAAGACAACATCCATACATCTTCTGCTTAACTGGGGTGTTGCAGGGGCAGCAGCCTATGCAGGGAAACCCAGACCTCCCTCTCCCCAGCCGTCACCTCCCACCAAGCAATAGAATCTCTCTAATGTCTCCTAGGTCTATCTGTGGCCTCCTCCTGGTAGGCACCTCACACAGAAAGCACCCAGGAGGCATCTTAGTCAGATGCAAGAACCACCTTGTTGCAGTGCTATAGGGAAAACAAGTATTAACCATATTAACCTGCCTAAACATGTTTCATCGCCAACCTTTGGATCATCTCTGTATCAGGGACTTTCTCCTGGCAGCAAGCTAATGAAGCTGAGGCTTGTGTGTGATGCCTCGCCCCATCAGTAACCTAACTGTTCTCCACAGCACTTTGATGGCTCAAGCTTCCTGGAGCTCCCTCTTCTGTGTGTGCTAGTGAAGGAGCTGATATTAACAGAATGATTCACAACCATCAGGTTCTGTGGAAGCCATTGCCCAGACTTTTATATGGCAACGGCTACAAGGAGTCACAAATGAGAGCTGGGTGCAGTGGACAAAAACAGAAAGTACATCATGTTCCCCCATCTCTATTCTCTATAAACGCTCATGTATGTGACATGGTTGAAGCTACAGATCTGTTTCTATTAAAAAGGAAAAAGGCGTGACCGTCACCTCAAAGGACAGCTCGTCTGAGGCCTGGGCTGTGTAGCGCTTTATGACATGAGCAGCAGCAATTGCTGGAACATTGATGGACGATTCTTCGTGAACCAGCAGATGATTCCCCTTATTGTCCACCTGATGAAAACACAAACCCAAAACGTACATGTCAGGTTAACAGAAGCAGCCATCAGCTAACAAATGCTAATATAAGAGTGCACTAAATATGTTTCTATTGGTGCTTCCAGACTGAAAATGTGTAAGGGTACAAAGACAACCTGCAGGGCTTAAGTTACAATTGATAGGAATAAATTAATACCTATGAATGTTTGAAGTCCCTGATAATATTTACTTTATCTATATCAATAAATACTAGATGGTTATGTGTAACTTCAGCAGTCCTTTAGTTAAATTATTCTTTTACAGGAAGTGTATTTACCTCCATCCACGTGAGGGCAGGCCCACAATTGATCTTGTTGTCAGCAATTGCTGAGAGCCGGGAGAGGTAAGCCAACAACATCTGGGAAACTGACTAAACATGGACAAAAACACAGAGAGCAGTTAGTGTCATTACATTTACTTCACAATAGTGCCATTTACTAGTGCAACAATTCATTACAAACACAGTAAATTTCAAAGTCTGCTGCCAAAACAAGTCATTATAGTTAAAGATCCCTTTTAATGGTTTAAAGTCTGCTTGCTTTTGCTATGTGTTCACAAAGGCAGCACATTTTCCAGCTAATGATGAGGTCTGCATAATAGCACACAAACAACTTGAAATGACTTTAGCTCTGACCTAATGTTACAAGGGATATTTAGCTTTATAGTTTCTGGTACCACAATTCCCCAAATTGAGACATTATAAAACAGTAAAACTTTGATCAGCAGAATGTTTGAGATCAAAGTTCTGTCATGTAAAACATGTAAACCACGGCTTCCTACTATCGATATTAATGCCTCATGACAATGAATTCTAAGGGCGATCGTGGCTCAAAGAGTTGGCAGTTCGTCTTGTAACCAGAAGGTTGCCGGTTCGAGCCCCGGCTCGGACAGTCTCAGTCATTGTGTCCTTGGGCAAGACACTTCACCTGCTGCCTACTGGTGTTGGCCAGAGGGGCCGATGGTGCGATATGGCAGCCTCGCTTCTGTCAGTCTGCGCCAGGGCAGCTGTGGATACAACTGTAGCTGCCTCCACCAGTGTGTGAATGTGAGAGTGAATGAATAGTGGAATTGTAAAGCGCTATATAAATGCAATCCATTATTATTATTATTATTCTCTGATCTAAGCTTGAGTCTGGCTCAGAATACTGATAAAAGTCTGTAACAGCAAGACTACAAATCACTTTGGGATTTAAGCCATACAGGTTTCCACAAATCTACAGTTTCTGCATACATAATGTAAAAATAATAAGCCTAGAGGGTGTTGATCAAAATAAGGCACTGATTTTGCTCACAGTCCCTGGATGCTCCAATACCTCAGACTGATCAGTCAGACTGTCCAATCGAGGCAGCTCAGGCAGCTGTGAGAAGCGTCGGTCGTAGATGCAGAGGTGCAGGTGTTTGTCCAGGACACGAAAATCCTCATAGCTGCGCTTCACAATCCAACTTCGACCCTTCGGAACAATGCAAGCGTAACCGCCAAAAAGAAGAGAGAACACAAACAGTTGACTGAAGGGATACATATTTCTATTAAATTGGGCTAAGGTTAAATTCAAATGATAAAAAGCAGAGCTTAGCTGTCAGATACAACATAAGCTTGAGAGTAGGAAACATTTTACATGCAATTTGCAACAAATGATAAAGAGTTCTTATATATGTAGCACTTCATTGTTTGTCTTGTTAGAGTTTAAAAGGCCAAGTCTGTACACTGTTTTACAAACGTTCCTCATAAACAGACTGATAAAACATGGAAACAAATTATCTGTTCCTCTAAATCAATGGAAGAGTATCTAAGATTTAAAAAAATGTTTTAAAAAATCTAAAAAGGGGCTCAGGTCGCCCACAGATTTGTCTACTTTGTATTAAAAAGTAATCACTGATCATCGACACCTTATCCAGCCCTCGCTTGTAGAATAAACAATAGAATAATTTTGTTCTCAAACCACTAAATTAAATCTAACTTAAATAACAGTTGCTCAGTGTATTGGCTATTTCTGTTTTAAACAACAAGAAACCTCAAAAACCCTCTCAGAGAAACTAGTGTTCAAAAAAAGTCTTCTGCTTTGATCTGGCCTAGAAAAACTGTCTTTGAGGCAAGGACTTGCACGAGTGGGACTGCAGTGCAACACTCAGCCCACTGATTCCAGTGCTGTTTTAAAGAGCTGGCTGGGAGAGATGCCACTGGGAGAGCTCTGTTGGCTTGGGGAACTCTATGCTTCCCTGTCCCACTTACAGATGCTTCTCCAAGTTAACCCACCTATCTGGGTTTGTGGAACTGAAACTGTCTCACTGCTGTGCTTGTTGTTTGTTTGGGGTTAGGGTTAGTGTAGATTTAGCAGTAATTCCAATGACTTTAAGTAGTTACAATTTCCAAGTGCCCCGCCACATACTTGTGTGCCATTGCCATGGTGCTGCAAATGGAAGATAATCTGTACATTTGAATGCATGAAACTGGTTTGCATGTCTGTTTGTTTGCTGTACTTCATGCATCTGGTTGAATCCAGCTGTGTAAAGATTTGTAAATTTTCAATTAATTTTAAATAAAATCAGTGCTTTTCTTAAATTTAGCCAATTAGCTTTGAAATTTAGATTTTTCAGTCAAAGTAAAAAAATAAAAATACTCCATAAAAAAATGCAACAACCCATTTCTAGTTCTTTCTGAAAATGAGTCGAAGGATTTAAACTGTGAAGCCTTCCTTCCCACATTCTTCAAATCACTCTCCCAGCTGTGGCATTCATCCACAGCTCTTTTCATTTCCTACATAACTTTGATTTCTTTCAGATAACAGCATAGGCATTTCAGAAATGACCTGTTGAGAGGGAGAAGTCTGCTGATATCTCAACAGGTGCTATTCTACATTTGAGGTGTATGTGTTCGGCTAAACAGGAGCCTATGTGGTTTGTGCATCGTTATACAACTTTTTAAGTGTGTCTTATAATTTGAGTGACTGCAGTACAAAGAATAAATAAATAAATAAATAAATAAGTTCAGGTTTGTATGAAGCTAATATCTCCATCAAGCTAGTCCCCACACAGTGCCTCAAAGCACAGGACTGACCAGACCAACAATAGTTGCTCAGCAACCACCCAACTTGCCAAATATCATCTGATTCTCAAAAATTAGATTGAAAAGTTGCCATTTTGACATAGTGGAGAAGACTTGGCATACATTACTGAAGTTTATCTAAAAAAAATAATTGAATGGGAACTTTAGAAGTTGATCCAAAATGACAAGGAATACTTCATCACTGTGCAAAGTTAGAGACAACAACAGTCAAATTTAAAGCAAGTATAATTTATTGGTTTTATATCAGTGTAGTCACTACACTTTCTCACAGCATGTGCCACCGGCAGATGGAATGATGGATGATATTGAGACTGAAAGACGGCACAGAAACAGCAGCAGCTCAGGAACAAGCCTGTCAGTAAAGTATGTGCTGAGTATGGCCTAGAAATCACAAGGTCAAAATGAAATGTGCCCCCTAGGGTGGTTGAGAATGACCAAGCTAAGATCATGTGGGACTTCCAGATAGAGATGGACAAACTGGTGATGGCACTTAGGGCAAGTGGTTCCAGCAGATCCCATCGACAACATCTGAGATCTCTGTCCAGAACACTGCAGTCCTGGGAACAGCTAAGATGCTATGCAGGACCCTCAAGCTCCCGGGCCTCTGGTAGAGGACCCGAGCTTGAACAATAAAGACTTCCCACAGCCAAGTTTGTTTTTTGTTTTACATACACACACTAATGCACCACCAATGCACAGGAGTTTGCAGTCTTACCTGGCAGTAAATATGAACCAAGTACACCAGCTCCTTAGATTCATAGCCATTCCGCGTCACTTCGCTTTGTTCATCGCCAAGGGACAGCTGAAAAACAGAGAGAAGGTCTGAGGCATTCGATGAGCATAACATGGGTTACTTCAAGCAACTGTGGTTCTTTAAATATGATTAAAAAGTATTGGTTTATCTTGCCTTGTTTTATCACATGCATCTCTGCCTGACATATGTGACAAACGCAGGCTCATGAATGGTTTCAGGAGTAGTTTTGTGGGCTTGGGCCATATCAAAGTGCCATCCACACACAAACTTGTAATAGTAGACCTCGGTCCTCAGTTAACGGAAGTCAGTTCATTTCTTTTTCTAACGTTACATCTTTCTCTATAGAGAACTGCTTTGGCATGATGAACTACAGAAGCACCAGTGACCTGCTGAGCTACACTCAAGGCTCTGCCCCATATATTAGGATGGCCGACCAGCCCCTCCATACTTATTCTAAGCACGTTTTTCGGTGCCCAAGCAAGTAGGGAAGTTTTGTTGAAATGCTTCACTCTCTTATCAAAAAAAACAGGGATTCATTAATGCTTGGTTACCAGGGTAACCCCAGTTCTCTGAAGACCCAGCTCCACTTGCATGACCAGTCATGGACGCTCTACTACCACTATGCCTGTTTAATATACACACCAGTCACTTCAAGAACACTCCCTCATTTCTTAAAGAACAAAGGACATTGTTTGCATTGCATGAAAACACACAGATCTATGGACATCTGTCTGAACGTGACCCACAGCTGATGGACTTTTTTGTGGTTGAGCATCCACTCCCCGTACAGTGGTTTCCCTCTGGAGAGCAAATCTGCTCTGGTGTTCAACACACCAGGAACATGAGTCGGCAGGAGGTGCTTGCTGCTCCACATAATCAGACAGAAAGAAAGCTTGTGTAATGTCATGAAACAAGTGCATCCCTGACAGTTTATACAGGGAGTGCAGAATTATTAGGCAAATGAGTATTTTGTCTACATCATCCTCTTCATGCATGTTGTCTTACTCCAAGCTGTATAGGCTCGAAAGCCTACTACCAATTAAGCATATTAGGTGATGTGCATCTCTGTAATGAGAAGGGGTGTGGTCTAATGACATCAACACCCTATATCAGGTGTGCATAATTATTAGGCAACGTCCTTTCCTTTGGCAAAATGGGTCAAAAGAAGGACTTGACAGGCTCAGAAAAGTCAAAAATAGTGAGATATCTTGCAGAGGGATGCAGCAGTCTCAAAATTGCAAAGCTTCTGAAGCGTGATCATCGAACAATCAAGCGTTTCATTCAAAATAGTCAACAGGGTCGCAAGAAGCGTGTGGAAAAACCAAGGCGCAAAATAACTGCCCATGAACTGAGAAAAGTCAAGCGTGCAGCTGCCAAGATGCCACTTGCCACCAGTTTGGCCATATTTCAGAGCTGCAACATCACTGGAGTGCCCAAAAGCACAAGGTGTGCAATACTCAGAGACATGGCCAAGGTAAGAAAGGCTGAAAGACGACCACCACTGAACAAGACACACAAGCTGAAACGTCAAGACTGGGCCAAGAAATATCTCAAGACTGGTTTTTCTAAGGTTTTATGGACTGATGAAATGAGAGTGAGTCTTGATGGGCCAGATGGATGGGCCCGTGGCTGGATTGGTAAAGGGCAGAGAGCTCCAGTCCGACTCAGACGCCAGCAAGGTGGAGGTGGAGTACTGGTTTGGGCTGGTATCATCAAAGATGAGCTTGTGGGGCCTTTTCGGGTTGAGGATGGAGTCAAGCTCAACTCCCAGTCCTACTGCCAGTTTCTGGAAGACACCTTCTTCAAGCAGTGGTACAGGAAGAAGTCTGCATCCTTCAAGAAAAACATGATTTTCATGCAGGACAATGCTCCATCACACGCGTCCAAGTACTCCACAGCGTGGCTGGCAAGAAAGGGTATAAAAGAAGAAAAACTAATGACATGGCCCCTTGTTCACCTGATCTGAACCCCATTGAGAACCTGTGGTCCATCATCAAATGTGAGATTTACAAGGAGGGAAAACAGTACACCTCTCTGAACAGTGTCTGGGAGGCTGTGGTTGCTGCTGCACGCAATGTTGATGGTGAACAGATCAAAACACTGACAGAATCCATGGATGGCAGGCTTTTGAGTGTCCTTGCAAAGAAAGGTGGCTATATTGGTCGCTGATTTGTTTTTGTTTTGTTTTGAATGTCAGAAATGTATATTTGTGAATGTGGAGATGTTATATTGGTTTCACTGGTAAAAATAAATAATTGAAATGGGTATATATTTGTTTTTTGTTAAGTTGCCTAATAATTATGCACAGTAATAGTCACCTGCACACACAGATATCCCCCTAAAATAGCTCAAATTAAAAACAAACTAAAAACTACTTCCAAAAACATTCAGCTTTGATATTAATGAGTTTTTTGGGTTCGTTGAGAACATGGTTGTTGTTCAATAATACAATTATTCCTCAAAAATACAACTTGCCTAATAATTCTGCACTCCCTGTATACACCACCACTGTTGCATTCTGTCCTGACCGAGACATGACAATTTTTCAGGAGCAGCAAGAAATAGAGACCATGGTTCCCTTGGGAAACAGAGCAATGTGCAGGAAAATTTTCTTCATGCAACCTCTCGATAGAAAACCCTGAAAAGAAACTGTTCATTTCAAGGTCCAGATATTTAATATTCAGAGTGGGAGACGGCACACTCTTGATACAATTGATGATGAAAATCAAGCCAGACAGGCTGCATAATAGTGCCTGGGTGTTTTTCTCCAGTGCCTCTTCACACATACTAGAAAATCTTTCAAATATACAAACACACTGAGCCCTGCCGCCTGCCAAGGGTTCAGAGTTGCCTTAACATACTTGGAGAAAACCCCAAGGGTGAGTGCCAGTCTGAAAAAGAGGGTCTGCTATTCTTAGACTATGCCCTAAAGGGCATTCAAAATTATGAATTTGTATTTGCTGAAGTGAGAATTGAGGGAACATAAATCCATTTAGGTATCCGTTCATTATCTTTTCCAGTGCATTGCTTCCTGCCCTTCAGCCTACAAGAGAAGAAACTTTGCTGTCCAAAGCCCTTTCAGCTCCCCCTGAACCCAATGAACATGCCGTGCTATTGAAACTGGATGGTTTCATTGCAAACTGTAACCTCTGGCAATGCATGTCATGCTCTTTGGTCCAGGACCACTCTAATGATCTTCACAGGAAAGAAAGTGAGTACCTGGTGTGGAACCAGGGGCTATTATAAAAGGGGGAGGGGGATCCCATGTCCTTGAAGTGATTGGTCTGTTTTAGAAAGATGTGGTGGTAGTGGAGCTTCTGTTATTGGTTACGCCACAAGGTGCTTCCCATAGTGAGATACTGAGTGTGGTTGCAAAGAGAACCAGAGGTTCTTTTTCAGTGTTTCTTTATGGGAATGTAGCTCACTCCTGGATTGCGTCAGCAGTCCTAAAGCTAAGCTCCAGTACTTCTCAGGATCTCAAGCTGGACCCGAGATACAACATCTGTCAGACAAATTAAAACAACTGATGTAAATTATGATCCTGGAAATAAAAGGATATAATGATAATTAAAGTTATGAGCTCCAAGTGAACAGAGGCAACGGCCAACATGCTGATGGAATATAGTAGGTGCTCGCTAAGAGCAAAGTACTCTATTGGGGTGATATGGTACCATCAGGTAGCCAAATATCTTATAGGAGCTAAATTTGCAAAAATCACATGAAAAGTGTGTAAGAACAGCCTAACACTAGAAACGGTATTCACCAAATTTATAGCACATGTTGTCATATCATCTGGCACTAGGTCTTGTATGCAGAGACACCTCATAATTGGGGTCTTCCAGTGCACATTGCCACTATGACATAATTTGCGTAGCCATGGTGACAGGTTGCCATCCCACCAGTCTATTCTGAGGCATGGAAGACTGGTTGAACAGATTTAATTGTTCAAAACCGCACGTCTTTGTGTTCAACATACTGTTATTGTCTCTTCTTTGATACTAGCCATTTAATGAAACAGCCTCATGTGGTTTCCCAATCCCTCTTTTATACCAGTGATACAAAGAAAAGTTGAACAGGTGTTTTAATCTTGCATTATATAAGAGCTGGTGCTTTTGAACCTGCTCTATTTCCCATAGGAGAAGCTATCGTGTCAGATAGTTGTGCTAATGTTTGCAATCACTGGCTCCACTGCAGAGATTCAGGAAGTTCAGAACTTAAAAAAAGCATTTTCAGGGCAGCCCATCCATCCATCTATGAATCATTTGTCTCCACGTCAGAATAAAAATAAATACAGAACATAAAGAATTAATATATATTCATTACATTCTGTACTTGCAAAGGTGAATGAATACCAGGTCAATGCCATTATGTGTCACTTCTATTCTCCCCAAATCTATGCCTGGTCTTTGGTTGCCAGTCTACCGCAGGGAGGTTTGGTTGCTGATTTATTGATAGGAATTAGTTGTACGACTGAGAAAACTGAAAAAGTTTGCAGACACTCTTATTTTAAATAAAAAAAGTGATTACATTTTGTAAAATACAAATAAAAAAAACAACAAATTTTTAACTTTTGTATTGTTTAACTGTGAAATTGTGAAAGAGTAAGTGACCCGCTCATGAAACATTTTTATCTTCTATCCCATTTGCTGCATCATTATGTTAGATCTGCATTTTGTGTTAACACAAACAAAAGTTCTGCTTTCACAACAGCAGACATAAAAACTGAGATCGAGGGTATTTATGTGCTGTGTGGGTCCACTAAACAGAGCCTGTCGGAACAATGTCATTGTGCCAGTGAGGGGGACGAAAACACATGGAAGTGTTCTGGATCCCATTAAAGCAAGTTTGATTTAATACAGTTGTTGAATATTGACTGGTCAGCCTCGAAAGAGGGAAACAGAAGACAGGAAACAGCCATGGTTAGCTGGTTAGCGCCACTTAACTTTCAAAATAAAAGCAAGGGAATTGTTTACAAGTAAAGCATTGAAAAGGATAAAAGCTAATAAAACAAAAACAAATTGAACTGTACTTGGAAGTTAATACCCAAAAACACAGCGATGCACTTTTGGAACAAGTCCACAGGAGAAAGAGGTCCCAAACGTGGATGGGACGTGGAGAAATTTTCAACTGTTTTTTAAAAAAAAAAATCTACTAAAAGTGTTCATGTTAACATCAGCATTTAATGTTTTTCATGATAGTAAAGTAAAATGCTACCTTCGATTAACCTGTTAACATCAGGGAGTCAGAACTAAACAAAAGAAGAGTATTTCTGTCAATACTTTTGATCTTGGATTGTTAGCATTGATTAGCATGATTCAATATCATGTAAAAATACAACTCAAGTGAAAAACAGCAACAAAAATCTAGAGAAGAGGTGGTGATGGGCACAAAAAGAGAGATTGCGGGTACCCAAAGACAAAGAAGGCTGCATGCAACTGTTACAGTAAAACCAATAGATGTCAGTAGTTAATCCTAGTTACAGTGGCTGCTGTAGGACCAACAGCTCTGGCTGACAACAACGGGAATCAATGAGCTCGTTTACGCACATTTTCGTATGTTTAAACCTGACTTCAGTTCAGGAGATCAGGCTTGAGGTGAGGAGGAGGAAGAGGATGACAATTTATCCAAAAACTGGTCACGTTCTCCCTTTCCTTTGTGTTTTCTCTGCTTTAGTTAAGGAAAGCCTCCTTAGATGATAAAGCATAGATATGATCCTATATGTTTCGAGTCAGACGATGCAGAATCTGGCTAATCACCTGGCCTCACAGAAATCATCTGAGGCTGATGCAAGTTTTGGTTTTCCAGGTTTTTGATTATCAGGAAATACTTAGTTTGCTAAGTAATAAATTGGCAAAGTTATCACGAACTGGGCTGATGGTGTGAATGGCGTGTCACCGGCTGCTCACACTGCTTAAAAACACACAAACAACACACAAAAACAACATAAAAACCCATCTAAAGTCCAGCTGCTCAGTGGTGACTGGACCAGGGTGAGACGTGGTATTGATCTACTGGCTTTTAAAAAGTATTTTGGTCTGGACTGCACACATGGACCAATCGATAAAACAGGCTGTTATCAACTTAGAACTAGGACACTAGTGTCACCAGTATGACTGTATCGTCTAACCTGACAACGTTTTTAGTGTTTATAAATGATTCATCAATGTCATTATCAAAGTATTCTTTATTTTGAAGATTTGTTTTTTTTCATGATCTGCTGATCACAATCTGACAAAAAACAGAAAATGCAGGAAGTGTGAAAGCACTGCTGCAAATTTAAAAGCCGCCTTTTGGATAAGTTCAGTTTACTTGATGGAGGTTCTACTTCCTTAGAAGTGGCAGTTATACATATGAGGTCATTCTTTATCCTATCCAACCCCATAATACTGCTCCATGCAGTCTTTTGTCTTAGTGACTTTTATGTGACTGTTACTGTCAGGGTTTGTTTGGTAAAGTTGTTTCTCAGCAATAAAAAGAAAAGACATGAGGTCATTCAATCCATCAGGTACTGGCTTTTTAAACAAAAGCCATTTTGTCTGGTTTCTGGCTTCTTTCAGTTTTTGTGTATTTTGCGTTCACTGTTTATTTCAATTTATTGCTGTGCTTGTATGTATTTGTTATTACTGATTGCTGTGTATAAGCCAAATTGCCTCTCAGGGACATTAAAGTGCTACTCTGCTCTGCTCTTAAGCAAGTGGTGTGTATGTGTGATTATAAGTTGTTCCACATGATGTTGCTGAGCATCAATATTTTGCACCCAGAGTTCTTTTGGAAATGCTTCAGGGTGCAGTCACTGTGGAACTTTTTGATTTAGCAATATCCGAGTGTGTTGTCATGCAAACTGTGGGACTCCATCCAGCACACGAAAGGCTCTGTGCTGTTTCTGCAATACATTTATGTGCATGTGAACGGTTACGACTCAATTTGGGATGATGAGGAACTTTCTGGTCACAAAACACTTAAAGGTTAAAAAAAAATGTTACGTAAAGAAGATGATACTGTGAACAAAGAGAACATCATGCCTCTCAGTGGCAATCTCAGGATCACCTTGATTGTGGCAGGGATATACATACAGCAGCTAATATTACCTGAGAAACAAACAATACTGCAAAGTAATGCCAGCACAGCAATAGCAGGGTTACAATAAGTCACAGAGGCTTATGTAGCTAAAATCTATTGTATAGCAAATCAAGGCCGGTAAAAAGAGGAATAAACTCCAAGCTTAGAGTCAGATCTGTTGGGTTTGAAGCCAGAATACTAACATGCTCAGAAAATAACACAAAGTAAACACAAAGCGAAGGATTTCTTAACTTCCAGGCAGCTGTCACATAAACCACAACAATAAAATCTGACTGGTGAATTGAATATATTGATGATCTGTTCTGCTGGGAAACCTCGGGTCCTGTGATTCATGTGAATATCACTTTGATATCTCCCAAACACCTAAACCAAGCTGCAGACCAAGCACAAAGGCAGCAGCCTCCCTATAGCAGGACAATGGCTCCAAAATCTTTTAAATACTCAAACAGTCTTATTATTTCTATGGTTTGTTAATGTTTTTTAAATATATTTTCCCTGTTTTTTTTACTAGTGCATGATATGATGTAATAGGTCTTTATCATCAGAAGGTAGCAGTAATTCAGCTAGATGCTGATTTCCTGGTTACCACAGGGGAACACCAGTAAAATATCTGTGGCACGGTGAGCGGTGAGACTACATGTCTGTTTCTCTCTACAGTTTTGTACACTAATAATGGCAAAAACACTTCAACACTAGTTTCTAGAACATTACACCTAATATGATTCACACTGTGTATGAACAAAACACAGACTTTTGTTTTATTTCCCAGAAAGACACTTTCTCAAACTATGATGATAACGGTTAGAGAGACCCTGGCTGTGATTCCCAAGTCCCCGATGATCATCTCTGCTGACAGCATGTAGAAATTACAGATAGCATCTACTGAATAAACGAGGCTGGGGGTAAGTGAACTGCAGGTTGGCTCCCAGCTGAAAAACAACAGAACTGAAGTGAGCACCCCAGAGACATTTTCAGCTGTGATGAAGGTTTTCAAAACAAAGGCAGCAGTTTTGCCATTTCAGCAAGCACGTCTGCTTTTATTAAGAACTTTTGAAGAGAACCTGCAAATGCTCCCATGCACCCAAACTGGGAAGCATGCTGCACACGTTACCTACCATTCTAGGCCTGTTTTCTGCATTTCCTGCAGCTCGCCACATTGCAATTCGCTTTCAATCCAACCTGTGCTGCACTAGCACACATTGTCCCTGTAACCACAAAGGCAGCTGCAATCTTGCCAGTACTTGGCAAACTATGGTTTCAAAAACCACAGCTCCAGAATAATAGCATAGGAACAGACTGCCTTTCACAGGAAATGAGAAATACTGAAGAATTCTGGATATACTGGCTTAAGTTCAAAACCTACCCACAGATAACAACAAGGCTGACATGAAGGATTTGGATCAATGTCATGAAAATCAAAAGAAAAGCACACAAAAAAAAGTCAAAACAACAACAAAAACCCACACTGGTTTCCTCACTGTGGTCATGCTGTGCTATATATGGTCATACTGGGGAAAAATATATATCACTGGATGGTCTGTCCCTCAGCTGTTCTTGTTTACAGTGTTGTAAAAGCTGGCCTGTGGAATTCCTAAAAGAAAGAGAAAAGCCCTTTCACGTTGATCATTTTCCAAAGACATTTACTTGGAGATCCGTGTTAAACTCAGCTGTCGCTCTAACAAAGGTTTCTGCATGCAGTGCCACACCGATATCTCGGCCACAAGCTTTTTTTTCACGAGTCCTGCAGGCACACAAGGACAACGGGGAAGCACAGCTCTGTAACCGCAGCAGCAGAACATTGTTACAGAAAGAACTGAAAGGGCAGAAAAAGCCCTCATACTTACAGTAGGTCAGCTCTGGTTTACGTTCCTTCCCTTCATGCAGCTCCTTAACGCTCCAACACCTGTCCAGTCTCTGTTCCTCAAGTCTAAGAATGTACATCCAAGCTTGGGTTTCTCCGCCACGGAGCACAATTCCCCTTGGCGGGACGTAAATGTCAGCTCCCCACTTTCTTTCACATACAGTGTAAGCACTCCCAGTGTGGGATCCGGAGAGAGAAAGAGAGAGGAGGGGGCAACAATATCATCAGCAGCTGGTGTTAGAGGATGAAAGCCGGTTTGGTGGATTACTCAACGGGACAGCTTTCATCTCCTCCATTTTGCCTTCTCTTCCATTCCACCATTGGGATGCCCAATTTTAAACCTTCTTTCTCTGGAGGCTGGCACCCAACACAACTTTGAAAATCTGACTAGCAGCAGCAAAACATAAATGGAAACAACCTGGTTTAAATGTCCAAAAAACAACAGCAAAAAACAAAACAAAAAGAAAGATGTGTTCTTTAGTCCTGTTCTGGCAACCTCACCGTCTGCTCTCTGTGTCCTGCACCACATGCTATTCTCTTTTTTCCTCCTCTTCCCTGTCTGACATGCTGGATCACCCCTCCCCCTTCTCTCCTCCTCTTAACCCTCTCTGGTTGGTATGTTCCCAGGACAAAGAGCAGGGATGGAGAGAGAGAGGAGTAGAGGAGAAGGAAAGGGCAGGAGGGGAGAGGGTGTGTGTGCACTTGCCAGGGAGCTGTTTTCCCTCCTTCCACATCTGCAGTCCTCGCTGTGCTGTCCTCAAGCAAAGTGGCATCTGACTGAAAGTGATCTACTGAGGAGACATTCAGCTCTTCCAAGAACACAATTACCATGACTTCCCATTATTAAACTTCAAAATGCACCCAATTAAGCTTTTCAATAAGTGATGATCTGCAAATGCAGTAAATAATGGGAAGCTATTCATATAACCTAATAACCTAAATAAGCTCCCAGCCTACCCCACTTGCAAAGTAGAAATAGAGTCACCAAAAATACGCTCTGCTAAAGGGTCTGCTCCCAGCCAGCTACCTTAAAAAAACTGAAGCAGAAGTTGAATCAGCTGTGGCAACTTCACGTGTGCCATCCACATATAAGATGGATTAAAAAGAGACTGCAAACAGCCTGGCTTACCAAAAAGGTAATAGCCACGAGGGTACAGAGCATCTCTCAGTTCTGCGTGAAAAACATGCAAACAAACAGTTCAAATATCCACACAGTCCAATTCAACTTATGGGTACAGACTGTGGCGGAGGTGTGGTCCCTGGCTCAGCTGCAGGGGAGGAGTGGTGCAGTGAGCTCAAGGGGCGGTGCCAGGCAGGTGAGTGGACAGGTGGTGGTGATGGCACTGACGAGCTCTCGACTGTTTTTAGTGACGCTGGAGTGGAGAGGAGGAGGGTTCTTCAGAAGGCGTGCACAACGCCGAAGGAGAGCAGCAGTGGGAAGTGTGTGTGCCAAACCCTAGAAGTACACTGCTCTGTGTGTGTGTGTGTGTGTGTGTGTGTGTGTGTGTGTGTGTGTGTGTCCGGTCCTTCTACGCAGATTTCTCAAGATGGTGTGACGATCACAAATAATATCTCTAACACCACCTGCTGCACTATCTTTTACCAAAGGAATGGGGCAATGTGACAGCAGTCACCACTGAGCCAAAACTTTCTAAGCCTTCATAAAAACACAGATTTCCACATAAGCCGTGAGCCATTCCTCTCAGCTGAGACGCCTGCTCTGACCGACTGCTGGAGAACAGCTTCACTTCGTTTTCTACTATAAGTCTGCTTATGAATATCAAATGATAATCCAATGATGACCCAGTTCATTCTGTCTCTGCTCTGCTGTGCCAGTGACAGGTTGGACTGATTTATCCAAACCACATGCGCAGAGGTCAGATATTATTGTTCCAGGAAACATCACTGTAGTCCAACTTGCAGACACAAAAAGCTAAAAGCACTGATTGAACACAACTATTTCCCACGTCCCTGTGTTGGCTATGGAGAAAATACAGCAGTGGAGAAATCTCAAGTTTTGTTTCTGACTCTAAAATTAGTTATTAGAGACACCCAAGTTAGGTTGAAAAGAACTGCAGTCAGGCACTGAGTGTGTGGGGTTTCTACTATACACACCTCGCTGACGGACAAAAGTTGTTTGCAACACGCACTTCCAATGGAGACACGTCATCAAGAGCTACAAAGGTTAACCTCATGGTGAGCCTTGAAGACTAACCACACTGCCTAGAAAATATTTATGCATATTACACATTGTGTGTCTAATCCATCACACAGATATGGAGATATTTCAGTCCAGACCAACGTGGCAAACAGATGGCTCGACAGAAACGCTACCCTAATGTGTGAATAAAAATAACAGTGTGATCGGTATCAAGCATTTATGATATTTTTAATTATACGTACAACACTTCAAAATAAAATACCAACATTATTTTGATGTATCTAAATAGAGCAGCAGTGCTCGACAGCCCAGATTGCTCTACTTTGTTTTCTCTGCTGCAGAGCTGATCGGTCCAAACGGCTGCAAGAACCTGACACAAAAGTGTCAGGCCAATAAATTCGCCTGCGCTACTACGCAAACAGAATGAGTTTATTAAATCAAATTTCTCTACTAGTTATTAAAGTGTATGTCAGTACACTAGGTCAGAGCTTCTTATTAATGTGTTATGATTACAGGCTGAAGTTTGCAGAACATAAAATATGACTAAAAATAAATGGCGGGTCTCCAGTGGCACCATTTTCACACTGTAGTATTTTTACTCGGATGTAGAGCTGAAGGGGTTTTGAGTGCACGGCTGCCTGTGGGCCTTTGCTGCAGTGTGAAGGAGCTGGATCTAAAATCATTAAAGCTAAAAAAATAAAAATAAAAATGGGGGTCTATCCGTACTGAGGAGAGCAATGGAATTTAAACAGGGGGAGAGAGGTCGCTGTTAGGGGATGAGATGATGGTTTGGAACAAAAAATCCTTTTCTTACTTTAGCGTACATATATTTGCACACAGATTATAAATCTATACATTTTGGAACTTGAAAACAATTCGTTGTTTACACTTACATGCAAACATATTCAAGTTATTTGATGAACATGCAAACTCTCAGCTTTGATTTCAGGGCCTGAACAAAAATACGACAGGAATTGGTCGTTTCTAAACACAGTTCCCTGTTTTGGGGAGCTTAAATACAATTTGGAAATTCACCCAAAAGCTGGTAAGATGCATGCATTTCATTCAGTATTTTTTTATTTTATGAAGCCCATAAAAGATCTGGAAAAGATTCGAAGTGCGGTATTTGAAAATGGATGTTGCTGCAGTGAACCTACAACATGGACTCTCAATTTAAGTAAGATTATCAAACAAAAACAATCCAGACACAGGGTGGGAATTTTCAGACTGTCAATACAACATTCTGGGGAAAAAAGTGCATCAGTGAGCTCAACATCTGCACAAAACCCAAACGACCATGACAGCAGTAATCAACATCTTTGGTAATGAAACATCTGTTACAGCAACCTTTATTGGCACTGGCTCTCCTGCACTGACTGAGTGAAGACAAAAGCACAACATCGCTAATATTCCAAATAATACGCTAATATTTGTCCAAATGCAGAAAGTTAACTGGACGATGTTTCACAGGTCAAGGACCCAAAATAGACGAAAAAACTGACGAACACAAAGGAGGACATGCAAGCACTTCTCTTCCTGGGTTTATGTCATTGAAATGATTCTGTTTCACATTGGAATGCAGAAAACACCAAAGAAAAAGGATCTCCATGACAAGCTTGCAGCTTTGTTGTCTTAAGCCCAACTTCACTTTTATAAGAGCAGAAATGAGTAATGAGGCATTGTGAATGTGCTTTCAGCGCTTCTAGGAGTTAACCTCACTCTAGGCCCCGCAGGTCAGGACAGGACAGCGTGGTTTGTCAAGTGTAAAGGCAGAAAGGGAAATAAATCAGCCCAGAAGAGCTGCAAATGTTATAGGAAGACAGGGTACAGGGAACAGAGTGGACCGGTAATGTTTCTTCTTTGTGGGAAAATCATAAAATATAAAACAGCACAGTGGGAACATGTGCCTGCAGACGTGATCTATTTGCCTTATGACAAAATCCTGTTTTGCACATGCATGTGATACACATTAACTGATCTTAATGGTCGCTGGTGGGGAGAGCTTTCCCTCTGCTTCACAGGAAATGTTGCGGCTGATACGTCCAGTTCAGCTCAACAAAGAAAGAAAATATAAAGACATAAAGCATCATAGCTATGTGGAATAGGCCCAAGATCTCAAAAGCACTCCTGATTCATCTAAAGAGGACCTATTAAACCACTGCAGCATGAAAAAAGTGGTTATTTATGTTATGTTTCTTCAAATTTTTCAAAATGGACTGATCTGGAATATAATGTATTTGTGTATTCTCAGCACAAATTAATTTAGAACATGATTGTCTGATGATGATGTGTTGATGGTAATGAAAATTTAAGCCATTTCCTTATGTTTTCTTTTCTTCTTCTTTTTTTACCTCAGTTCCATTACCCCATAGGTAATGGAATTGAGCGGCCCTCATCACCCTTCCTCTAGTCTGTCACAGGAGCAGGTGATGTATTTGCATGCATGTAACATGTATAGAATGTAGGCATAAAAACATTATTATACTGCCCTTGAACAGGCACTGCTCTAGTTAAAGGGAAAGTGCTGACGTCTAGCAGTATTTATTAATGCATTTGTTACATTTCAAATTCAAATTTCAAATTCAAATTTAAATTTTATTTGTCACGTACACAGTCATACACAGTACGATATGTAGTGAAATGCTTGGACAACTGCTCGTGACCTAAAGAAAACAAAAAAGGAAAGGCTATGAATAAGATAGGAAATAAATATGAAAAATTAAAAAGGGTAAATTTAACTAGGAAGGAATAAAATATAAATTAAGGTTAAAAATGAAATTACTGTACAATACAAATTAGAATGAAGGGTAAATTTAACTGTGCAACAAAATACACAATTTTTGTTATTGAAACTTTTTGGGGACCTTTCAACCTTTGAGTTCACCTCCACTCTTCAGCTTTATACTACTTTAACTTTGAGTGTGCGCACTCTTACCCACATCTGTGCCAGCACATCAACTTTAGAATGTTAGCTAGCTTCAAACTTTACTATGGTATGGTATGGGGGGGAGAGAGAGAGAGAGAGAGAGAGAGAGAGAGAGAGAGAGCGCATATGGGGGCTCTGGCTGGTCTTTTGTTTCTCCAACAAGGGCAGAATGCGTCCAAGCGTTACATCATCCTCAGCTCACAGGCAGTGGAGAGCGGTCCTCTGAATGAACATGTGACAAAGGGTCTGACATCATCTCTCTGTCGGCCAAGGCCCTCATTCTGTTTTCTCCAGGCAACCACACAGTATGACCCTAAATATCATACAGATGGAAACCCATTAGAAAACCTGCAGGTTATTGTTAAGTGTCCTGTGTTTCTAAATGACGGGTTGCCTGGCTGTATGCTTTGGAGTTGTACTGCAGCTGATGGATTGGGTCCCACTGGGGGGGAGGGAATGCATCTCTCACGGTGCTTTGTGAGCAGAGGGGGTGACTGGGCAGGAGAAGCGTATTTTGTGTCGATGCTGGGGATGGTCTCGAGCAGGAGATGGCTAGAAAGCCGAATGGAGGAGTAAGAAAAGAGACAAATAAAGACAGGCCCTCATCACCCTTCCTCTAGTCTGTCACAGGAGCAGCTGAGACACATCAGCTGTACAGCAACGCACAGCAAGGCGGCCTAAAGGAGCCCTGAGAGGGACGTCAGTCTTCGTCACATACATGGCTGCACACACACCCTGCTACTGTTATTCACCCACACGCAAATCACACCCTCAATAACTGCCTGAACCACCGTCAGCATGAGAGAGGGGGCGCTCTTTCACATGTGTCTGACAGCCCTCTGCGTTGGCCTGCGCCTGCTGTGTTTTGCTTGTACGTGTCGTCTTCCAGGTTGCTGGTAGGTGCGGTAACTGGGAGCACCTGGCCACTCTCCTCGGAGCATTTAAGATGTGGTTACCTCAGCTTTCTCTCTCTCTCCATTCACCCTGCACCGTGTTATTTGTCTGGTTGGTTTTGAGCTGGCTCACATTACACACCTAACATTCAATCACTCATCCAACTGCTGACACACTAACAAATGCCAATGTAAAGTTTTATGTGGTTAATAACTTTGTAAACCATGTCTCTCCCATATTTGTTAAGGCTCTTGAGCGAGACCATAACAGCTGTTAAACTGGTTTATTTCCATGATTATCCACCTTAAAAGTCACACTCAATGTTTCTTACTATAAGTCTGCCATAATGCACTTTATGGCATTGTACTTGGTTCAGTGTTTCAGTCCTATTAGTGTCTTCAGTGCTGTTGTGTGTGTACAAAGGCGGTGCTGGAACAAATCGCACTACTACTCCCTCTAATGCATTTCTGGGAGAGTACTGTCCTGCTCGTAGTAGTAGTGTACTATACTGTGCTGAAACGTGTTGAAGCAGAGGCAAACAGATTGGCTGATGCAGACTTCATCCTACACCAAGATAATGAGCCAAAACGGAAGAAAATAAGGCCGAAGGCTTCAAATAGTGTAAGAGAAGCACAGATTGTGAGCACAGACCAAGTGTGGGTCTGATGACCTAAATTTCATCATCAGACGGTGAGTGAGGCAGTCCGAGCAGCCGTCCACGTGCTTGCCTGTTTTTTGTGACCATGTCAACTTCTCTCTGGAGACTTTACATTACAGTGTTATAACTGCACCCCAGAGAGAGATGCATAACAGAAATGACTAAATGACAGAATGAAACAGCCCGTTACTGTCACACACACACACACACACACACACACACACACACACACACACACACACACACACACACACACACACACACTACAACCTTTAGCCATTTCTGACGACCGGTTTGTGTGACTTTCACCCTCTCACACATTTTATTACCGGTAGTAAAATGTGTAACAGTGTGGTCTTCAGTGTGGTCAATGTGGAAAAGGCAGGGCAAAATGCTAGGCTAATGAGCAACAATAAGGGTGAGTGGTGCTGGCTGGCTAGTTGGCAGGCACAGTGGGACAGTGGTGATGAAGTCAATACATTTACTTTGCTGGTCTCTGGCTCCAGACTTTGTCATGCAGCCCTTGGCCTGCAAGGCTGGGAGGGGCTAAGAGGAAGAGCAAGAAGCTGGGGGCGATTCAACCGAGACATCATGGAGGGCACAGACTATGGGGGGGCAGTGCATGCATGGGCCAACACACCAGGTCACAGAGGAAAGGCCAGAGCCATTCGGACAAACAGTATTAATTAAAAATTAACAACTAATATAGAATACAAGGTCGAGTCTTCAGCTATCAGTCTTCTAGAGTGATTGTGGCTCAAGAGTTGGGAGTTCGCCTTGTAATCGGAAGGTTGCCGGTTCGAGCCCCGGCTTGGACAGTCTCGGTCGTTGTGTCCTTGGGCAAGACACTTCACCCGTTGCCTACTAGTGGTGGTCAGAGGGCCCGGTGGCGCCAGTGTCCGGCAGCCTCGCCTCTGTCAGTGCGCCCCAGGGTGGCTGTGGCCACAATGTAGCTGCCATCACCAGTGTGTGAATGTGTGTGTGAATGTGTGTGTGACTGGATACGTAAAGGGACTAGTAAAGCGCTATATAAATACAGGCCATTTACCATTTCTAGAGAGGAACCAGCTTCTAGTTTAGTTTCAGGAGACACACACATCTATACTTTCAACATTAGGATTAAAATATTCATTTAGCTTAGAGCTGGATCAGGTGCTCGGGCTGCTGAGGAACATCCACGATGCACTGAGCACCTCTGCTCTCCCCATGCATTCATTTCTCACTATCGCAGTCATAAACTTTTGTCTTCTGTAGTTTACAGTTTGTGCTTTGCTCAATTTGTTATCCTCAACTCCGTATGCGCTGCCTCTTCCTGAACCTTAAAGGCTTCACACTACCGTCGCCATGTGCTGGCTTATAAAGAATTACCTAATTATTGGGGTAATATATCTAATATTGTGGGTCTTTACCTTTTAAAGCTCCTTGACTACTGCTGTGACCTATACAATAAGAACAGAACAAAATCAGTCTGACCAGAGTATCTAAATCTGCCCTTTCATCTCACATCCAACTGTTCACCTGTCATTTAATTTATCGCATGCACTGATATCAACGTTGTTTTAGATGGCGTGTATATCATTTGGTGCAAAACCATATCTGTCTCAAGTAGATTAAATAACCAGCAGTGAATTCAGTTGGCTGAGGTCTCTTCTGCATACTTCAGATTCCAGCCTCAAGCACTAGCTTCAGAAAGAGTGGAGGACAGCATACACAGCAGCACAGAATGACACAAATATCAGCAGGGACTTATCCATTCTCTTAAGAATGGTTTTAGCCAATGCACAGAGGATTTAAAGTGTCAGACAAGGTTAATCAATACCAATTCATCCACCTTCTCTACATCCAACTTAATAGGTTTCTAAGTTTTGACATTTAATAGATTCTCAAGAGGGCACCAACAGTACTGTGCCAAAATCAATACAAACTTTCATGGCCACCCATAGCAAGATGACCTAAACTGCATTTTTTTCAGACCACTCACTTTGATGTGAAGTCTGCGCTAGATCCGCCTGAAGCTAGTTCAATTAAAAGAAAGGAAGACTTACTCATCCTAATGAGAGCTGCAGAGAAACAAACAAGAGCCAGTCCTACTTGGAGCCATCACTCCTGCTTCTGTTTGCTCCAAAACATCAATGTCTGCCAAATCAAACTCATACATGACTGTGCAGCCACAGGGCGCCAGGATGTAGCTAAGGTCACAGATTTAGTCCTTATTATTACTACCACTACTACATGTGTTAGACATTCGGTGCCAACGTTCAAAAACATCTTTTTTTCCCCCCTCTAAGTGATTAAATAAAACATTCACATTTATCATAATCCAGATGAAAACTCTGCAACAGGCCAGTCACCTGTCCACGATGTACCCCACCTCTCACTCTATGACAGCTGGGATACGTTCCAGGATTCCTTTCTTTAAGTAAAACCTATTCTGAACCACCTGTGGCTTCACATAAGAACCACAATCAAACGTATTTTTTAGAGAAATGCCACAAATGACCTCATTGGAAAATAAGCTCAGACAAATGTCATAGATATTTGTAGAAAAACCTAAATATACTATTCTTTGTTCATATAGTGTAGCATTGAAGTGTCAGCTGTCAGTTAGTAACAACCTTCTATCTAGTGCCATTGTTTTTAAATGCTTTCAGAAGTGCAAAAATTAGGCATAATAGTATTTAGTCTCGAACAGCTGTCAAGATAAAAAGATATTTTTTTATATTTTCCAAAGATCATTTGTGATGCATTTGTGTCTGATGTCACAGCACCATCATCAAATCAATTATAGTCTTTTTGGAGTGACTCTATTCAGATTTGTAACAGCATAGAATGTACAAAAAGGAAAAGCTGCTGTCATTAGATCCTTTCTGTGTGGCCTGCAAATCTTTTTTGAGCAACAGTATTTTAAGGCAACAAGTTTCTCTAACATCAAAGCAAATAAATAAGCAAAAAGTTCAGCACTAGATTAATTTGGAAGTCTTGTTAAGGTACAGTCAGACAGAAGAAGGTTAGAAGAACCTTAGTCTGTCAACACCACTGCAAGGTTATGCTTTTGTTTTCATTTATTTAACATTTAAACCAGATTCTTCCTCTGAGGAATACGATGT